GCGGGTGACAAAGATTTGTCCTGACTGTGGGCAAGGCAGGAAAACTCTAGCTACACCTGAGTTTGATCCCCAGCATCCACATTAAAAGCTTGTAGGTGGCACAGGCCAATGATCCCATGGATCCTGTCCATTCACCTTAGCCTAACTGGCAAGTTCCAATCCCAGTGACAGACTGTATCTCAAAAAACAAAGTGAACATCTCTGGAGGAATGGTACCCAAGGCTGACATGTGGCCTCCACACATGTGCATACAAACCTGCAGGTACCCACCCATACACACACACACACACACACACACACACACACACACACACACACACACACACGTAGATACCCTTTTAAGAAGTCACATTCAGATTTTCATCCCTTTAGTTACTCTTGGCTGGGAGTGTAGCTCAGTGGTAGAGCACTTGCCCAGCATCTACAAGACCCTGAATTTGACAACCTGCACTGTGGAAAGCATCATTATTCATAATAATAACTTACTTACTGAAATGATGTTTTGGAAACAAAATTCCTTTGGATATAATAAGAGGGTTTTCATTTATTTGTCTTTGGTGTTTATAGGAGCTGCATACTTTGGCTTAGGCAATGTTCCCAAAGTTATTTTATATACACCCACACGGGAGGTAAACAGGTCTGCCTTCTGTGTTCCAGCCTCCCCATCAGCACACGCTACTTCCTTTAGCTCTCCGATCCACCCCCTCCTCTGCAATGTTCAATAAATACTGGCCGAATGACTGAGATATCTCATCTAAGTCTAGGCAAGCAAGCTTTTTTTTTTTTTAAATTAGGATCTGATACAACAGTAAGCACACAGAGAAAAGTTATTTGGAAAAGCAAATGGAGCATCTAAATCATGCTATTCATCATTGATTCAAAAAACAAAACAAAACCCACTCCCCTCCCCTCCCCCTGCCAAGAAATAAAGTTCTCATCTCAAAGGGGTTAAGATACTTTATTGTGGAGCCAAATTTGAATGCACATGGCCCCAGAAAACATGGAGCTAGGCTATCCCAGGTTCCATGTTCCACAGGGAAATGGTTTCAAGAAATGTTATAGTAACAGAAAAAAGTTATAAATCAAAGCATTTAAAAAATACGTCGGTGGAAACATCAGAGAGGCAGTTACAGAAAGATGGGGTAATTTCTCCTCTAGGCCTCAGATGCTATCTGATGGCTTTCTTAGCCTTGGGGTTGGTGGAAGCTGGCGGTCTGCTAAGTTAATAAATTCTGAAAGGTTTTAATTTGTTAATCACAGGATGTTAGGGTTGACATAGAAGTAAGCAAGGAATAACCATCTAGGGGGCTAAAGCTAGCCCAAGACAGAGTGTGCTCTTGTCTTACTTTCGTATTGTCTCACTGTCTGAAACATGACCCAACACCTGCACACCTTGCTGTCTGGAAATCTTAGATATACAGAAAGGAAACTTCAACAGAGACTATGACCTGTCTTACCCAAGTCTTGTTCTGAGGAAATTGAGAAACAAAATATAGCAACTGAAACCTAGTTCCTGAGAGTTACCATCACTGGGTAGCTGCTTTTCAAACTTTTACTTTGATTAATTGAGGTGTCTGTCTGTCTGTCTGTCTGTCTCTCTCATCACTTGGCAGCAGCTATCTTCAAAGTTTTCATTACTCTGATTAAGCACTCTCTCTCTCTGATATAGGGATGATAGAAAAAAAAACATAGATTATTGAATCTTCTTTAATCCAAAAAAAAACAACTATTAATCTCAAAATATTTTACACTGTTATGGATTTTGGTTTAATGATACAATTTTAAAGTAAATTTTGTTATACTGTATGCATATTTCTACTCTTGTTTGGGGTATTGTATTTATGTAGGTCATTTAAAAATGTAATGTATAATTAAGAAATACAGATAAATAGTCATCTATAATAGTCAAACTTATAGTCATGTTAGGTATGTTTTCAAGGTCATGTACAAATATATAAAGATAGACAGATGGTCTTCAAACACTTTAAAAATCTATAAAATATGGCATTTAATATGTCTAATAACCTAAGGCTTTTCATGACAGTGAGACACGTCTGCTCCTGACAGCACCAATCTACTTCAACAGAAGATGGTGGGCATCAAAGAAACTCTGTATGGAGTTTACTTTCTTTCTGGCAAAAGCTAGCCATTTGGGCCAAGAAACTGTCCTTACCTCAATTGCTGACAGTGTACTTTCCAAACTGGACCAGCAGGACACAAAAGAAAAAGACTGTCAAACTTTGCCAAGACAAGGTAGGACAGTCCTTCAAAATTCCCTGCCTCTCTGAAAAGTCTGTCAGACATTCTAGGCCTGTAGGCCACAGATGGATGCCCCAACGTTACAGAAGAACTTTGGGTGACTGTCCAGGCAGCAAGATATAGCTGTCATTAGGTAACATTTTACTTTTCTGGGGTCTTTGACAGAGTTGAAGACTAGATAGTCATATTTAAAGTTTTTCCTAGTTGTGATAAAAGGTAAATTAGGTATAAAACTTTCGAGTCACAAAGAGAAGATAAACAAGAGTATTTTCTCTAAATTTGCCAAAAACACATGGACTGGATATTGTAACTGTAATACTTACTTAACTGTTTTTGTTATATATACTTTTACTATGTTAAAGTTAAAACCTTTTTAATTAGACAAAAAGAGGGAAATGCTGTAGAACAAACTTTGTACACTGTAAATATGTATTACTTTCATTGGTTAATAAAAAAGCTGACTGGCCAATAGCTGGACAGGTAGAGGTTAGGTGGGAGAGCCAAACTGAGAGAACACTGGAAAGGAGGAGGAGTCTGGGGAGTCAGGATGCCTCTGTGTGTGTGTGTGTGTGTGTGTGTGTGTGTGTGTGTGTGTGTGTGTGTGTGTGTGTGTGTGTGTTTCAATGCAAGAGTACCTTAGTGCACACTTCTAGCCTTCCACTGTGTGGATCTCAGGGGTGGAATCTGGCCATCAGGCTTGGCATCAAGAGCCTTTATCTGCTGAGTCAATTCACCAAACCAACACCCACCCACTCACTCACTCACTCACCCATCTATCCATCCACCCACCCATCCTTCCATCCACCCACCCACCCATCTATCGACCCACCAACCAACCCCTCCCTCCCTCCCTTCCCTCCCTCCCTTTCTTTCTTTTTGTTGTTGTTGCTATTGTTTTTTGAGATAGGATCTCTCTACACAGTCTTGGCTGTGCTGGATCTCACTATGTAGACGGGACGGGTCTTGAACTCACAGAGAGCTGCCTGCCTTTGCATCCCAAGTGCTGGGATTAAAGGCATGGCCCAGCCTTGTTCCATTTTCAAATTCCCATCCTTAGCATGCTTCTTAAAATGTGATTCTAGGTATTTTTATGTATTTAGGTGAACTTTTAAAAGTACTTTTTGATTTTAAAAAATGTCATCTTACTCTATGTCACTTTTTAATTTGCAATGTTCCTGGAAATAGAACTTAAAATAGGGATTAAAAAATACAAATATGCTAGTGAATCGTTCCATATAAAACATCCTTTAAGTTATACATCTGTTATCATCAATATCTAGTTCTGGGGCTGGAGATGACTCAGTGAATTGCTCCCCATGCAAGCATAAGTACCTGAGTTGGATTCCAGAACCTACCAAAAAGAAGCCAGATGAACAGCTTGGTGCGGTGGCGCACGCCTTTAATCCCAGCACTTAGGAGGTAGAAGCAGGCGGATCTCTGTGAGTTTGAGACCAGCCTGGTCTACACAGTAAGTTCCAGGACAGCCAGGGTATACAGAGAGACACTGTCTTGAAAAAACAAAACAATAAAAACAACAAAAGAACGGACACTTGGTTTGTCTAGCAGGCCTGAAGGCTTTCCCTCCAGAACCCCAGCTCTTGCCTGAAGGGCAATTCACCTTAGCACCTCTCTCTTGAACCTAACTCCTTTTCATCCCTAAAATCCAACATGTTGCTGGCCAGTAAGTGCTTGGCAGAGCCTGAACCAACAACCCCCGAGGTGTGACCTCATGCATATCTGCATATGCCATGCCCTACCCCCAACACACAAAGAATATCCAAGGCCAGGTATGGTAGGGCACACCTTTATGCCAGAACTCAGTGGGTAGAGGCAGACAGATCTCTGTGATTTGGAGGTCGGGCCTAATTCTTTACAAATGTTATAAAGGCAAATGAATAAACACTAGGGCACTCTGCTTAGATGTCGCATTTAAAGTTTGCAGCTTACCTCCTCCTTGTATCCAGCCGTTCTGGACTACTCGATGAAAAATCGAATCTTTGTAATGAAGCTTTATACCTCTCTCAGAAAAGCCCGCCATTCCTGTGCACAAGACCTGAAAATTTTTACAGGTTTTGGGACATGTATCACAGTATAGCTACAAAATAAAGATGAGAGGTTTCAATGATTACTCAATATTTTATCAATTACAGACTCCTCAAAACTTATTTAAAAAAAAAAAAAACAGCAAAATTCTCTTACCTCAAAAATCAGTCTTCCAATTGGAGAAAGATCAATACAAATGTCCAAGTACACAAAATCATGCTATTAAAATTATTGAGAAAAAAATAACACAGGTCAGTGTTTTGTAAGCTTTAGAAATATTAAAAACAATAAAGCATTCTTTTCAGTGATAAGATTTTAACCACAACATGGACAGATAACAGCAAGTACAATCTAAACCATAATAGTCACAGATAACAACAGTAAATCTAATGACCTAAAGGAATTTTTAAATGTATTTGACCAAGTCTTGATAATGTATATTACACAATCATTTAAAAACCTCTTAGTGTTGAAGCTTTGAACAATGTTAACTTATCATGCAGGCCTGGGAGCACATGACCTAGAAATACGCAGATGCCAGGGTTCCTGTGTGGACAGGGACAAGGGACAGTCCCCCTGGGGACAGAAACAGACTAATAATTCTTCACTATTCTTCTTTGCTGAGTAGGTTTGGGAAAAGAGCCAAGTGAGTGTCGTGGAGCTGGCGACTGTGTGTCCTGGATTTCAGAGACAGTGGCGGCCACATATGGAGCCAAGCCACACCCCCAATAGCCAAGCCACACCCCTCTAGCCAAGCCACACCCCCTCTAGCCAAGCCACACCCCTTCTGACTGGGAACACACGACCACTGTTCCCCAGTGCTTTGGCACCAAAGGCGGAAGAGAAGCGGGGCGTGCTTCCCAGTTCCTTTCGTGCACCCTCTCCTGTCCAACAGTCCTCACGTGCTGTACCTCACGGTAGAGATGACTGGTTCTGAGGGAGGCTTTGCGTAGCCACGTAAAAGGGCATCCGGAGTTGGGCACGGTGGTTCCTGTCTGTAATCCCAGCACTTGTCAAGCTAAGGCAGGAGGACCGCTGTGAGTCCACGGTCAGCCTAGGCAGCAGGCTACTAAGACCTTGTCTCATAACCAAAACAGAACAGAAAGGCATCCAAAATGAACAGGCTAGTCTTTCCTCGCTTAGCTCTCCAGGACCACTGTACATCTAATGGTGGTTCAGGTCCTGGACCGCTCTACCACATACAGAACACCAACTTAATGCAGCGTGTAACTGCCCTCCCTTCCTCCTCAGAAATCTGGGAGACACATGATATTTCTCAAAATACACCGTATTGCTTCATGTCACTCTAACCTTTTTACGTTAAAAGACTGAAATTCGTGCTGTCTGGCAACTAGCAAGGAAGTATTACAAGCATACTAAGCATGACTAAGATTTCCTGTTGTTTTTTCCGAGTGTCTCACTGTCCAACCCAGGCTGGTCTGGAACTCAATACATAGACGTAGCCCAGGCTGACCTTGAACTCGTGGAAATCTTCCTATCTCAGCCTCCTGAGAGCTGGGCTTACAGGCTTGGAGGACTGCCATGTGCTCGCTAATTAGAATTAATTGGTTTGTGCCTCTTAGATTCTGTACTCCAAGTTCTAAACTATGGGAGAATGCTATGCTACAGAGCAGGAGGCAGAGTATAACACACCTCCCATGCTTCCGAGGGACAAGCGTCAGTGTCAGAAACTGCGGCTGACTGGGAAGTGAATTCAAAGTCTACCAGGCATAATTAACCTCCCTGTGCCTCAACTGATCATCTTGATAGGGCTGTCAGGAGCAGACAACTCTCGATGAACGTGGCAGAACACACTCCTCATCTCAGCTCTAGAGGCAGGGAGATCCCTAGTTTGCAGCTAGCCTGGGCTACTTATAGTCCCTACTTTAAAAACAACAACCAAAAGGAAAAAACAAAGATAATTCTGAAAATGCTCGTGACAGAGACAAATGAATGCGATACAAAGTAACACCCAGTCCCCAGGAGCCAAACACACAAGCAGACTTGCCCGGCAGGACATTCCAACCCGGAAATAAACAGGAGAATCCACCCTCTGTAAAAACACTTGGTCTTTTCTCAGGAAGCTAGGTCCTCCGTTCTCAGCTGGCCCCTTTAATTCACGCTTTCATTATTTCTAACATATGTCACCACAGCCCTTTCCAAACACCTACCCTGACACCAGCTTGCTTTGGCACAGCTCCAACCACCACACCCCAAAGCAAAGCGGGTTATGTCGTAGCCTATGAAAAGCTCTGCCGGACTGTTTTCCTTCTGGGCAAAATCTCCAGCTTCAGAATAGATAGTAAGTCAGCATCGGGCCTCCGTTTTCTTTCCGATCTCCTGATTTCCCCATCCTACTTAACACCTGACCATCCTTCCCATCTGGGCAACATCCCACTGGGTTTCACAAGCATTGCCAGAACACGCAGGGGCCAGATTCTCCCTCCTCCGCTCTGGGACAGGCAGGATGTGGACATGTGGCCTAGATTTGCTGGACAAGTAAGTGTTCCTGGGGCCCTGGGGCTCAGGAAGTATTATAAAGATACGAAAAATGTTGGGAAGCCACGCTCCTGGACGATGGGGCCCGCGTGAACCTAGGGCTAGTGGCTGATGAACCTGGGGTGGCACGCTGGCCCATATTCCTCTGGCATGGCTCGGGCCATTTCCCTGGTATGTGGCCCCCCTTGTTCCTACTGTTAGGATCCTGCTCTCACTCTTCCGGGTCGAACGTCGTACATCATGGGGGGGCGGGGGCGGCGGCGGGCAGGCAACTGCATAACGCCTCGTGGTCACGCAATCTCCGCCTTAAAAAGCCGCACACGGACCCCACCCTCTCTCTTTTCTGTTTCCTCTCTGCTCTGCTCCCGCCATCTTTCTGTCTCTCCAGGCCTGGTTTCTTTCTAATAAAGGTCCTTCTGACTCTGGAAATCGTAGCCGCAGCTTGTTCCGCTGCTCCTGCCGACCCACCCGCGCTATCCAGCCTTTCACCCACCTGGTTTCAAAGCCATTTTCCCAGCTTCCCTGTGGACTCGGGGACTCGGCACCACTGCTCTATCTATCTTTGTTTCTTAAGTTAGTCACAGTAACTTCAGACCACTGACACCTAGACTCAATTTCCGTCTCAATTTCTCAGCCTAATGACTACTATTTCTGCCTTCCTTGTGGCCACTGACACTCCTGGGGACCACCATGTGCCGCCGGGACTCCTGTCCCTTTGGGAATTAACCGTGAACAATAAATTCTCTATACCTCAGAGTTTTCAGCATTTTAAAAATGCATTGTTTATTCAACCAAACACTCACTGGGTACCCCCTATGCTTCTTAGTTCCTGTTCAAGGCAGCAGTTAAATAAGGGTCATGAGACAAAGTCTTTGCCTAGCTCAAGTCCTAGCACTGGGTCATTCTGTGCAGCCCTGGCTGTCCTGGTTCTCACTCTGTAGACAAGGATGGCGTTGAACTCAGAGGCCACCTGCCTCTGCCGGGATTAAAGGCGTGTGCCACCACACCCAGCTTGTGTGAAATTTTCTTAATTGCTAATTGATGGAGGAGGCCCAGCCTAATATGGCAATGCCATCCTGGACAGGTGGGCCTGGACTGCAGAACAAAGTTCACTTCCTGTTGCCTGTGGATCAAGATGTAGAACTCTCAGCTCCTTCTCCAGCACCTGCACGCCTCCTCCATGTCCTGCCATGATGATAATGGACTAAACCTCTGAAACTGTAAGCCAGCCCCAATTAAAAGTTTTCCTTTTTAAGAATTGCCATAGTCATGGTGTCTCTTCACATCAATAGAAACCCTATGACAGTCCTCATTCTGTAGATCAAATTACTCAGGGGCTGATGGTCAATCTTAGTTAATTCTTTTCAGACTTTTAATCCCAATGCAGTAGCTCTCACTTAGGTGTTAGAACTATTAATTGAAGGATTTCAGGGCCAGGGCTGGAGAGTTGGCTCAGATGATAACCACACTGGATGCTCTTCCAGAGGAAACAAGTTCAGTTCCCAGCACCCACATCAAGGGGCTCCCAAATGCCTTTAGCTTCAGCTCCAGGGGAACTGAGCACCCTCTTTTAGCCTCTGAGTGTCTGCACATGTGTGGCACTTCAGGGCCAGTGAAATGGCTCAGCAGGTAAAGCCCTTATTTACTCTACAGCCCGATGGCCCAAGGTACCACATAACGGGAGGCGAGCAACGACTAGACAAGCATTCTGTGGTCCACAGGCCTCCCCATCAACAACAGTCACCAGTTCCCGCTCTGCTTTGAGACAGGGTCTGGCTATACTGTCTAGATCGGCCTTAGAATAATAGGTACAAACAATCTTCCTGCCTCAGTCTCCGGGGAAGCTAAGACTATAGGTGCATATCAAAGGGTGTTTATGTTCTAATAGGAGTAATTCATCATATACACCTCGAAAGGGAGGAGAAACAGTCTGCTCTCACTCACATCTGCTTTACACATTGCCTGGACAAACCCTGAACTTTAATCCTTTGCAACTGGTCTTAATAAGGTCACTAGGGGTTTACATCTTAATCTCTTGCTGTATCTCCTTTGAGAGTACACCAGCAATTAATGATGAATTAATACAAATGATGAAAAATTCTATTAGAACTCTGTGTAACTTGCCTTGGTGTCTTTCAAGAACTTGGTGGCATAATTCAGAGTAAGTGCCTCATACAGTGCGGAGGGTCGGACGTCAACCACATCCCACACCTTCTGGGCCCACTTCTTTAGGTCAAACGCGTTGCCCAGGAACTGATCATTGATGAAGCACATCACATAGGAGGAATACACCCAGGTGTCACCCTTCAGTTCCTACAGGGAAAGGGGGTGGGGATAATGACAGCAAGAAAAAAAAAAAAACTTCTAAAACCACAAACAAGAGCTTGAGATTAACTCTACAGCCTGATTTGCCAACTACAGGATTAACTCTTTTAAAATACGTTTTTTTAAAACCACCTTTCAGAATTCTGCAGTCAAAGAGAACTTAACATTTTTGAGACTCAACATAATGAAGAACAGAAAATAACCTAGAAAGCAATCTTTAAACTATTATAATCATAGGTAGATGAAGTTTGGTAATAATAATATCTACATAGTACACTTGTTCCTTTAATTTGTGAATCCAATGCAGTCCCTGTCTCCATTTATGAGGCACACTTTATTTACTGTGTGCAAAGAACTGAGGTGTGTGTGTGCACACGCATGTGTACAATAAAAGGCATGGAACCCAGGCATGAGACGGTGATTATTCTGGATCGAAAGGACTATCTTTAGAAACTGCCTCCTAAGGGCCAACAGTTTTTATCATCAGGGACAAAGAAGAAAACTCACCTTCCCCAACACTGTTAAACCTAAGCCACTTAAGATCAAGTGTATTAGTGTCTTCCTCTAGGCCACACTACCACCAACTTCCTAGATCCCCAGTGTGGCCTGAGCAACACCAACCCCTGAGAATATATGGTCTGCTATCTTCTAGCGCCAGCCCTGGCAAACCCTGAGTGACCTGGTGCAGCCATTTGCAAGTTTTAGTAGAATCCGATTTGTGGGTCCATAGGATTGTCTGGCTGGCCGATGGGACCTGATGGAGACGCTGCATCTCTAGTGGTATCCAGGGAGATGCTGGTTCCGTAACCAGGATATTGGAGTTTGTGCTGCCTGTCACCACAAGCCCCACTGAGCAGGGGACCAGAACTGAATCTTTAAGCTGTGCTTTACTCAGGTAACTAACTACCCGGGAGACAGGATCCGCACCTCATGTCTGCCTCCCCTTGTCGTCTTCAGTTAGCACGTCTTACAAAGAGCAAAGGCTGCCATTCCAAGTTCAGGCTTGCTCCTCTGGTCAACCTGACTCTGAGATTTATGGTACTGGTGCCTCTCTTTATCCCCTCCCACACTGTCCCCTCGTTGTTTATTGTCACTCTCCATTGGGTGTGCTGAAGCTGTGCTCTTAGGGAAGCCTTACATTCTGTGGGAGCACAAGGCAGCTAAACCTAATGAACTGATTCACTGGGACTGCACGTGCTAGGAGGCCCCACACCTCACACTAAGCTACACTAAAAAGACTTACACTAAAAAGTTAAGGTGACAGAAATGCAATTTCAAAGGGGTTTTCTCTTTTCAAATCAAGGAAAATAGGGCTTAGAAAACATAAGAGAGCTGCCGGGCGGTGGTGGCGCACGCCTTTAATCCCAGCACTCGGGAGGCAGAGCCAGGCAGATCTCTGTGAGTTCGAGGCCAGCCTGGGCTACCAAGTGAGTCCCAGGAAAAGTCACAAAGCTACACAGAGAAACCCTGTCTCAAAAAACAAAAATAAAATAAAATAAAATAAAAGTTAAGGTGACAATTATGGGAATGAGGGTGAGAGAGAGAAGAGAGGAAAGAGACCGAATAAAGCAACAAGATGAACTAGCGAGCCTCGTTCAGAACAGAGGGCAGAGGCATGCAGGGGAGTGTACGGTAATCCTCAGGAAGCCCGGGCTGGGGAGGCAGGGAGGTGGGGTGTGCAGGAGGAGGGTGGGGATATGCACGGCTGCATGGATGCAAACCACAGGCCGTAGCAGGCAGAGAATGTGAGGCTAGTCAGTGATATAAACCTGACTATAAAACTTGCAAAAATTATTTTATGTGGGGGCTAGAGAGATGGTTGCTCTCCCAGAGGACCTGGGTTCCATTCCTTAGCACCCACATGGTGGCTCACAACTGTCTCTTAACTCCAGGCCGAGATCCAATGCCCTATTTTGGCCTTCATGGGCATAGACATGCAGGTCATGCATGGACATACATGCAGACAAAACACCCATGCACATAGATATTATTGATTAGTCAAAAATTAATAATTGAAAAACTGTCTTATGTTAGGGTTGGTCAACTATCCCACTTTCCTTTAAATTGCTTTAGTTTAACATTGAAATTCCTGTATCCCAGGCAAACCAGGACCATTGGTTCCTCCTAACTGCAGAAGGCACTGAATGTCTCCCTTCCTACCCACCTATGCTAGATTGTGGCCTCCATTTCTCAAGCACCGTATGTAAGTGTTCGCTATGACCTCCTCATATGACACGTGGCTGAGTCAGGATGCTCCAGGTGACACTACCAAGAGGTGAGCCATCTGCCATCCGCCAGGCAGGCCTGGGTTCCCCAAGAGTACTGGTAGAGAAGGAATGTGGAGAACAAAGGTCCAAGCCGGACAAGCTGCTCACAGGAGGGTAGTCACTGCCAGGAGAGGCCCTCAGCCAGCAGCCCCACACAACCCGGGGTCTCTGTGAGATTCATACCCACACTTTCCAGATTAAGTGCCAGGCTACCTAAACCGAGTGCCCGAGTATCACAGGAAGTGTGAGCAACACATAAGGAAAGAAAGGTGGCCATCGGGGTTAGCTGTCATCTCTGACCATGTAAAACTCATCTCTCGGGGCTGGAGAGGTGGCTCAGAGGTTAAGAGTACTTACTGCTCTTCCAGAGGACTGGAGTTCAATTCCCAGCACCCACATGGCAGCTCACAACTGTCTGTAACTCCAGTCCTAGGGTACTAGAACACCAATGTACATAAAATAAATAGTTAAAAAAAAAAAACTCATCTCTCTCAAATGCCACCTACAAGAATATTCTGCAAATATTTTACTTCTTAGGAAGACTGTCTAGGAAGATTGAAATAATTTAGGGAAAGTTCATAATGAAGAGAAATAATTATAGCTGGAGTTTGTCATTTTCCAGAACTGCACAAATAATTCACAGAGAAGCGGACTTGTCAATATCCCCCATGCTGACATATCCCTTACCCTCTTTTTCTCCTGTAGATACTGATCCCAGGCAAATTCTTGAAGAGGAATTATCACAGGATCTTCAAATCTGGTTGGGTAATTATTTTTCAGAGTCTAGGTTACAAGATAGAATAGTTTAAGTTCTCATTTATGTATTTAATCGTTTATTTGGTGGGGGGCAGGGCACACTAGCCATACATGCATGTCTGGGGACCAGGCAGGGCACATAGCTGTGCATGCACATGTGAGGACCAGGCAGGGCACATAGCTGTGCATGCACATGTGAGGACCAGAGGTCTTCCTTTTCTCCCAGCTTATTTGCTGAGACAGTCTTCTGTTGAACTTAGGCCTGCCTGTTTCAGCTATCCTGGCTGGCTAGAGCGTCCTGAGAGCTGCAGGCCTCCCCTTATCAGGCTTAGGGTGACAAGAGCAGTCCGCTGAGCTTGGCTTTCACATGAGTACCAGGACTCTGAACTCAGGTCTCAGTGCTTACGCAGCAGCAAGTACTCTACTCCCTGCCATCACCTCAGCCCCTAAGTTCTCTTTTTCAAGTCAAACGCATTTCTCCAGATTTGTACGGGCTCTTCTGGCAGTTCACACAGCACACACAGGCCACACTGCCTGACTGACATGCCCTGGCCTGTTCTCAGAGACCCCACCAAGTCATTCCGCCTGACTGGTTTGTCTCTTACCTTTAGGAATGAGATCTAGAGGGCATGGGCATGTCTGCCTTCCTATATTGCTACCACATCTGGTAAACAGTGGGCCGTCGATCGACACAGCTCAGTAAATGAGTCTATACCAATGGTTTCGGGATCTGTTCTGTTCTTTTAGAACTATTTGTCTTCCCTAAATTAAATTGCTAAATATCAGTAGATCTACAGGTACTTGATTTGTAGCAAAAAAAATTATTGTCTTGATTTACTGATGAAGGAGAATGGCCAAAAGGACACTATTGTCGTTATGCCATTCAAGAAAAGGAGAAGCAAATGTCAAATGCATTTCAGCCTCTAAATAAGTTTTAGTATTGAGTGTGCTTTAGCCAAACGTTTTACATGTGCGTAAATCAGAGAAAATTACTCTTAAAAAAGACTTAAGCCGGGCGGTGGTGGCGCACGCCTTTAATCCCAGCACTCAGGAGGCAGAGCCAGGCGGATCTCTGTGAGTTAGAGGCCAGCCTGGGCTACAGAGTGAGATCCAGGAAAGGTGCAAAGCTACACAGAGAAACCCTGTCTCGAAAAAACCAAAAAAAAAAAAAAAAAAAAAAAAAAAAAAAAAAAAAAAAAAAAAAAAAAAAAAAAAAAAAAAAAAAGACTTAAAAAAATTATGTGTGTGTACTGGGGTGGGGTAAGGAGGTGGTTAATGCTCATGGAGACCAGAAGAGGCCGTCGGCTTTCCTGGAGCTGGAGTTATAAGTGGTTGTAAGCTGGTAGACGGGTGCTGGGAACTGAACCTGCTAAGGATGATGCTTGGAGGCCCTGTTGTAGTCTAAAAAAGGTACAGGCCTGGCATGCTCTACCGGGCATGACCATTTCAAGAGGGAGGAAGCCTGGGTGAGAGTGCATCATACTCCGGGATGGTGCAACATGGCAGCAGCAACCTGGTCATTTGCCTTCTTAGATTGTGGTATCCAAACAACAGAACCATTTCTTATTCCACAGCCTGTGTTCAGTTTTAGACAACCCACAGCATAATCACTGTTTTTAGTGACGAGCTATCTAGAATAAATAATAAAACCAGTAGTTTTCAAAGCAAGTCCCATTATGCTTGCTCATAATACAGCATTTGTTGTAGAATGGACTACATCCAAATTAAAATATATGCTAATATTTATCCTTAACTTTTATAAGTCTAAATCTGTTTATGAATCGGACATCTGGGATTACTCACAAATATATTAGGAATATAATCAAATATCCTTAATTATGCTAGAACTAACTGAATTTACAATGATACATTTTCATATTTGAATATAGTCCCAAGAGGAAAAGAACTTAAGGAAAAATTACATTATCAGAATATTAAGACATTTTCTTTTTTTTTTTTTGGTTTTTCAAGACAGGGTTTCTCTGTGTAGTTTTGGTGCCTGTCCTGGATCTCACTCTGTAGCCCAGGCTGGCCTCAAACTCAAAGAGATTCACCTGGCTCTGCCTCCTGAGTGCTGGGATTAAAGGCGTGTGCCACCACCGCCTGGCAAGACATTTTCTTGAGTTAGTATTCTCTATAGCAGATGCTGACTCCTGTACAGTTTTGAAAGAACTGACAAGCCAAGAATAATTTTCACATCTTTTAATGACTGAAAACAATCAAAAGATGAACCATATTTTATGTTACATCAAAATTATATATAAGTCCAACAGAGCATTTGCAATAAAGTTTTATTGGAACACAACTTACTATTTACTTACGTCATGTGGCTGATGCTTTGCTTTGTTGTAGAGGCAAGGTATTGCTTTATAGTCCAGGCTGACCTTCAACTCACTGTCTTCCTGTCTTGGCCTCTTGAGTGCCAGGATTATAGATAGGCCTGTTACCATGCCTAGGCACACTGCTTTCACAAGGTTAAGTCTGAGACTGTGTCCCAGAATACCTACCACTTAGACTTCACAGGAATAAAAAAACAACGCAAATACCATCACTGCAGTTGTTAGGGTCTGTGGGAAGGCCCATAAAAGACCACCAGTCACATATGCAATCAATAAGAGCGTTTAATAAAAAAAATTCCAGCATGCTGGGGTCAGATCATCTGACAAAGTAGCAAATGGCGACCCCACAGGCTCTTTTTAAGCAGGATTAGGGGAATTTCAGCTGTGGTCAAGTGTACTTTGAAGGGACTGGGTATAGATCCTTACTGGTACAGGAGTCATTTTATGACTGGCTCATGACATCTGGTCAGCAACTGTAGTTGCTGTGTCAGGGGTCTGTTTGACTGAAAACAGCAAGAACAGTTCCTACTTGTGGCCGGGTAGGATCCTGATTGGCTGGCTACCAGACTGGGCGTACTTCCTGAGGGTCTGAAGCCACACAGGAGTGTGGATGTGGAGTAATACCGGGCAGAGGTCTTAGCAAACTGGCCCCTGGTCGGGGGAGGAGGGCACAAAAATACAGCTGGCCCTGTTAGGATCTGTCCTGTTGTAAGAGGGGATGGCCACTTCACAGTGTGGTTCAGCAACAGGAAATACAACATGCCTTAAAGAGAAGCAACTAAGAAAGAAAGAAAAGTATCCCTCAAACTCTGAAATACCTCTTTAGGCATAAAAACCATGGTTCAAAACAACAATAAAAATGAAACAGAACCAAGAAACCTTTCGCCTCCTGTGCACACAAAACAGCCCATGACTCTGTCGATGGTGGAGCAAGCAAGAGACAGGGGATTCTGAAGGTGAATTCTACTTGGCTGCCCTTGCAACCAACTGGGTAGTCTGGAAAAACAAGCGCGATCGGTAGGTCGCGGGGGCTGAGCTGTGCGTGTTTCACCATTGAACTCCCACGTTCTCCGGTTTTCAGGCTGCAGCATAAATGACCTGGCTAGATTTGTTTTTCTTCAAGTGTTTTATATCATTCTGCATGTTTACAAAGACAGATGGATTCTTCAAAGCACTTCTGGGCCATCTTAAGAATCCGAGAAGTATCGGGTTCTGTTAGACTGCAGAAACATCTGCAGAAATTACAAAGAACCTTCCAGAATGAAATTACCAAAAATCACAAGTTTTTTTTTTTAAATCAGCTGGTTATGCGGTAGTATTTTTCCGTAAGCTTGAATTTTGTAAATCCGTTTCAATCAAAACTGCACGTGGACCAGCTTCTCGACGCATAGGTGCGTGGAAATGACCATTTCCCCCTCGTACGGTTCTGAGCGCTGGCTTGTCTCCTTCCGAGTCGCCCTTGCCGGCGACCTGCGTTTGTCCTGTACACACCCACCCAGCCCGGAGGTAGAACGTGGACCCCGCCGGCGCGCTGGCGGGACGGAGGCAGGGGGCTGCCGCGCGCGCGCGTAGAGCCTGGGGGGAGGGGTTACCTCGGCGATGGTCTTCGACACCTGAAAGCTGGAGCTTTTGAAGAGCCCCACCACCTTCACCCGCAGCGGCGGCTCCGGCGGCGACTTCGTGGGGCAAGCCGGGGGCTTCGGCCGGCACGGCTGCCGCTGCGGAGCGGCCATGGCAGCGTCAGCCCACAGCCCGGAGCGCAAACACTGCCGGTCGCCACGGCAACCGCGTGGCTCCGCCCCCAAGGCCCGCAAGGGGCGGGGCCTGGGCGGCTGGCGGGGGCGGGGCCTCGCATCAACTTTGAGCCTGTTGCTGGTGAAGCCGGGCCAGGGCCAAGCGAGGCACCCGTAGGCCGCGGTGCCCGGAACCCGCCGAGGAACCGAAGGACCTGGAGCGGGCGGTCCACCCGGGACCCCTCCGGGGCCTGCCGGCGGTCTCGCGCAGCCCGCCCGGGATTTGCAGCTGACCTCCTTTCCGGGTTGGCGGAAGGCCTGTTGTCCCGGTTACGCGGGAGTCGCACCCCCCACCCCACCCCGGCTCGCGTTCGTGGGACTGTGCAGCGCGGGACCCGGCGGGACACTTGTGCGCTCCCTCAGCCTCGCCGCCGCCGTCGGTGCCCCGAAGCACCCCAGCCATGAAACCCACCTTCTCTGTACGGCTGAGGGTTTTCAACCTCAACTGCTGGTAAGTGCGCCCAGGCGAGGGCTGCGGCCTCGGGGCCACCTTCCTGTCCCCACCCGCCCATGCCTAGGAAGGAAAAGGGCCTTCTTCAGCCGAAGCACGACCCTGCCTTTTCCGAACCGCCAAAGTCCACATCCAGAGCCCAGAGCTCGGGTGGTGGCGGCAGTCATCTCCCGGAGCCTGGCTCTTCTCTCTCTCTTTTTAAGAAAATTTATTTATTTTTATTTTATGTGCATTGGTGTTTTGCCCGCATGTGTGTCTGTGTGAAGTTGCCAGACCCCCTGGAACTGGAGTTACAGACCGTTGTGAGCTGTCACGTTGGTGCTGGGAATTAAATCCAGGTGCTCTGGAAGCGCAATCAGTGCTCTTAGCTGCTGAGCTGTCTCTCCAGCCCCCTGGCTCTTCCCTTTTTAGGGACATCCCTTACCTGAGCAAACACAGGACTGACCGCATGCAGCGCTTGGGAGATTTTCTGAACTTTGAAAGCTTCGACCTGGCACTACTCCAGGAGGTGAGGCTGGGCAGGCTAGGCTGGGGGGAGGACAGCAGGGTTCGCAGGGGGAATCTTCTCTCTGGGACGAAGTCCAAGCTAGCATCCTCACCTTCGTCCTCAGGTGTGGAGTGAGCAGGACTTCCAGTACCTAAGGCAAAAACTGTCGCTCACCTACCCGGACGCACACTACTTCAGAAGGTGAAAAGTTATGACTGGGGCCCGCTTTCTGACCAGGGAGCGCTTCGCTCTCCCATATCCTGGCTTGCACCCGTCACGCTCTTCCTCTCAGGCTGTCCCCTCATCCTCCTGCAAGGGCTGCTGTCTTTTTTTTTTTTTTTTTTTTTTTTTTTTTTTTTTTTTGGTTTTTTCGAGACAGGGTTTCTCTGTGTGGCTTTGCGCCTTTCCTGGAACTCACTTGGTAGCCCAGGCTGGCTTCGAACTCACAGAGATCCGCCTGGCTCTGCCTCCCGAGTGCTGGGATTAAAGGCGTGCGCCACCACCGCCCGGCAAGGGCTGCTGTCTTAAGCTTTGTTCTGGGGCGAGAGGAAAGTTGCTGATCGGAGCTGGGAGGCAAGGGAGGGGGAGAGGGCTGGGTATTCCCTTCCTTGCTTTTCTAGTTCTTAACAAGACTTGACTTTCAGTGGACTCATCGGCAGCGGCCTCTGTGTGTTCTCCAGACACCCAATCCAGGAAATTATCCAGCACATCTACACTCTGAATGGCTACCCCTACATGGTAAGGGTCTTCCCCCCATCCCCCACCCCCGCCAACACAAGTTGGATGCAGCCCTCCCGGGACCTCGGCAGAAGGCAGTGGCAGTGCTCTGAGGTTCTGTCTTTGGCCTGCAGGTCTGTCATGGAGACTGGTTCTGTGGGAAGGCTGTGGGGCTGCTGGTGCTCCATCTAAATGGACTGGTGCTCAACGTCTACGTGACCCACGTGAGTGAAGCTAGCCAGGCTTAGGCTCTGGGTCGGGCAGCCCAGGGCTGTGGTGGAGAGGAGACCGTACCGGCTCTGCTGCCTGGGGTGATCAGAGGGCATGGCATGATCATGGGATCAGAGGGCAGCCATGGCAAGGTCACCCATTCTGTGCCAAACTCCATGCTAGATGACAGATAGATGCAAGTCTGAGTTAGACAACCTTAATCTCACCTGTTCCGCTTTAGCTCCACGCTGAGTACAGTCGACAGAAGGACATCTACCTAGCGCACCGTGTGGTCCAAGCTTGGGAACTGGCCCAGTTCATCCAGTGTGTGAGCCTGGGCCTGACAGGGGAAATGGGGTGGGGAGGGGGGTGGGGGGTGGCTGGGTCCATCGAGAGGGCAGATAGTAAGAATTGTTTTCTCATCACTCTGCTCTCCCAGCCACACATCCAAGCATGCAGATGTGGTTCTCTTGTGTGGGGACCTCAACATGCACCCCAGAGACCTGGGCTGCTGCCTCCTGAGAGGGTGGACGGGGCTTCGTGACGCCTACGTCGAGACTCAGGACTTTAAGGTGAGAGGTCCTGTCTGACGTCTCCCGCCATGCATGTTTGTCCTCCTGCCTCGCAGCGTCACGGCCACCTGTCCCCCTAGGGCTCTGAAGACGGCTGTACCATGGTACCCACAAACTGCTACGTCAGCCAGCAGGACCTGGGACCATTTCCACTTGGCATCCGCATTGACTATGTGCTTTACAAGGTCAGGCTTCCCCGCCCCACCCACACCCACCCCCAGCATGCCTTCCTCCATTCTCCTCCTCCGCCACCAGCCCGTGCTGATCCTTAGTTCAGCTGGTGCAGTCTTGGGCCACCAAGGGCTGGGGAATGGGAACCGTTAGCTGGTTCTCGGGGAGACTATAAGTTAAAAGAATGTAAGTTAAGAAGATAAGTTTCTCTGCCCTTGTTCCTTCCTAGGCAGTTTCTGGGTTCTCCATCTGCTGTAAGACTCTGAAAACCACTACAGGCTGTGACCCCCACAATGGCACCCCCCTCTCTGATCACGAGGCCCTCATGGCCACTTTGTATGTGAAGCACAGCCCCCCTCAGGAGGACCCCAGTCCTGCCCACGGTGAGTCGGCTTCCCCCCTTTACCCTTTCTACTTCCGGGCCGCCCAGCCTCCATTCTGACCCTGTCCTGCTCTGCTCTTCTGCCTTGTTCTAGGGCCGCCTGAAAGGTCAGCACTCATCAGTGTGCTGAGGGAGGCGTGGACAGAGCTGGGACTAGGCGTGGCTCAGGCTCGCTGGTGGGCTGCCTTGGCTGGCTATGTGACGGTCTCGGGGCTCTTCCTCCTGGCGCTGCTGTGTGCCCTGGCTGTAGGAGGAGGGGCCAGGGAAGTGGCCATGCTGCTCTGGACACCCAGTGTGGGGCTGGTGCTGGGAGCGGGTGCAGTCTGCGTCTTCCACAGGCAGGAGGCCAGAGGCTTATGTCGGGCCCAGGCCGAACTCCAGCATGTTCTGAGGAGGGAAAGGGAGACCCAGGACCTAGGCTCAGAGCCCCACCTAGCCCCAAGCTGACGAACAATAAAACTTGACATACCCTAGTGGCTCTACCTTGTTCCTTGCAGAGGCAGCGACGGGACCTGAGGGTCAGTGGCCTTGTCACCATGTGGACTTAGGGCACTGGCTCATTACCTGCCCTCCCTGAACATTCCCATCGTCCCCCTGAACACAGCATAAACCCTGTTCATGGCCATAGTACTTTTATTTTGAACAGCGAAGCCCCGGCTAGGCAGTCCAGATGGCAGAGGTATTGCCCTTGGATGAGGTCTTGCTTCCAGGGCAGGGAGGCAGGCCTGGAGCCAACCACCTTCTAGCCCTGGGCCCCCGTCTCTGAAGCCATCTCACTGAGCCTTCTCTCCTCCTGGAAGCGGATGAGGGCATCCCGCTGGTTCACCACATCCACCAGCTTCCTCAGGACCAGGTCCTCAGACTGACGATCAGCCTCCGTCTTCAAGGTTTCTGGAGGGAGAAGAGAACAGGGACCTGGGCAGGGAGCCTGAGGACAGGATCAAGCTAACACAGCCTGCGTGGTTTCTATAACCCAGACTGTGTTTGTGCAGAGTTCAAACTTAGGTTTGGTCCACTGGTGGTTCCTAGTTTTGGTGAGCACAGGCACTCTGTTGAAGGAAATGCTGCACAAAGCCGACTCGCAGCCCTGACTGGAGGGAGAGTGGAGCCTTGGGATTACATCCTTTGGCTTCCTCCTGAATTGTCTCAGCAGGCCAGAGGCCAGAGGACTGTGTTACTTGGTCAGTGTCCAAGGTCATGAGCTAGCCCACAGACCTTCCCGATTCAGGTAGCCGCGCAACTCCTGGTCCAGCTGCCACTGCTTCTCCTCCAGGTCCAGCTCCTGAACCCTGGAGAGACAAGAGATTGCAGAAGCACAGCTAGGCAGGGTACTCACAGGGACGGGCCCTGGCTCACCTACCATGTCACCACCCCCTGGCCTTACGTGATCATGAGCTCAGCCTCTTCAGTCACTAGGCTGTTTTTTTCCTGGATGAGCTGTAGCAGCTGATCTAGCCAGAGTTTCTTTTGCTGTTCCGGAGAGCCTGGTAAGGAAAAGGAAGGGAAGAGGTGACAGGATCCAGGGGACATGGGCTGTTACGGCTATCAGCCGCGCGGCACAGCCCCTGGGCCCAGGGACCGCTGAGGGCGGAACATGGCGCCAGGAGCCAGAGAGATGTGCGTGCTAGCACGCCACTCTCCTGTCTTGACTCACTGCTCTGACTCCGCAAGGCCAGCTCCAGCCTCGTGCCCTCGGTCTCCAGCTCCCTCATAGCAGCCTCGATCTCGTTTAGTCTTCTCTGGATGGCCTGCGGGTTTTAAGACAGGATGCCTCAGATTGCTCAGGAACGGTGCTGGAGGTGCCCTGCGCTCAGGCCGCTGACCCGTCACAGCTCGGCAGGGCCCGGGGCTCTGCGGCTCACCTGGGCCTTGCAAAACCTCTTCATCTCCTCCTCTTTAGCACGGCGCATGAGGGTTCGATACCATGTCGGGTACTTAGTCATGGCGCCCGAGTTCTTGGTCAAGGTCAGCAGAGTCTGTGGGAGGGACGGGCCAGTCAGCAATGAGCTCTGACCCTGGTTAGGAATGGAGGAAAACTGGGGTGGAAATAGGTAAATAAGATACTTAGAGGCAAGTCAGCCAGACCGGGTGAGAAGACATTCCAAGAGGAGGATGTGGGCTCTTGGTGCTTCTGTGGTGGGTGGAAACACCTGGCAGATGCCTTTTGGCTCGGGCAGAGTGCACGGCTGGCTTCCCGCTACTTACCTGCTCTACATCTGCCTCCAAAGGTACTTCTTCCTCTTCCTCCTCCTCCTCTTCCTCACTGGAAAAGGGATTTTCTTCCACCTTCTCTGTGGCTTCAGGAATTGAGCAGAGGACAGAGAGATGCGGCTTGGGAGTCCAGTGGCCTGTTTCTATTTCCCAGAATCCCCATGGCAGAAATTCTAGGACCCGCCCCTCCCCACAGCCTCCCAGATGAGCACATCTGTAGGGAGAGCACTTACCTTGCGGTGCTTGGACTGGCACACCCCAGCCCATAAAGCTGCCCTCCAGAGCCTGGCGGGCCAAGGCGGCGCAGCTCCGTGGGGGCTTGGGCGGGGGCTCTGTCCCTGAGTCGGGGGTGATGGCCAAGGAGGACAGCCGCAAGCGTTCCAAGCTGGAGAGGCGGATCAGCCGACGCGCAGGCTGGCTGGGGCTTGGGGCGGGGCTGACCCTCTTCGCAGGAGACACGGGAGGCGAGGGGGGACCTGACTCTGTGCTCTCATCATCTGGTGTAGGGAGCTCCTGGAAAAGCCACCATATGGTCAGGTCATGGAGCCCATCTAGTGGACATTGCCAGGCAGTGCTCTGGATACCAGAACCCTTCAGTGGGGGACAGCGTTCACTTACTGCCAGCAAAGTCCCCCGATCTGGGGTGACCTGCCTCTTCCCACACCCCACTACACAGAGGGATTGCTTTGTTTTGTTGTTAACCTGGTTCTCTGGACTTCCATCCCTGTCAGCCGCCTTTTGGCCCTCCTGGGGCAGGTGCTGGAGACAGTAGAAATGTCCTAGGAAGGGTAGAAGAGGCCAGGCCTCAGCCCACTGCCCGGGTACTCAGAGGGAAGGTAGAGGCCGCAAGACCAGCTGGCTTGCAGTCATTTCTTAGGACTCCACACCTAAAGCTTTGGAGGGGGTGGGAGCCTGTTTCCACCTAATGTCCAGCCCCTCTCCCGTCCTCGCCCCCAAGCTCCTTGTCCTGAAGAAAGCACCAAGTCCTGTAGCAGCTCCCACGCCCACTTACCATCTCCTAGATGTTGTCCATAGCCACCTGGCCACAAGGTGGCCTCACAGGTGTGGCAGCGGAAGCAGTCCCGGTGGAAGAAATGGCCATCCACACAGAAGCGTTCCAGGATGTAGAGGTGTTTCCCACAGAGTTCACACAAATCCTCTGCCCCAGCCTGCACAGAACCCCAGGGTACAGGGTCAGCTGGACCCAGAGCCACCCGCCAAGGCCTGCCTTCCGTTCCCCTGCAGCCTTGCCCACCCTCGGAGGCCTGCGCAGACAGGGCTCTGGATCTCACCTCCTGGTTTTCTGATGGTGGCGCAGGGGGTACACTGGGCTCAGAGACAGGGGGCTCCTCGGTACTTGGAGTCTCAGCCTCTACCTAAGGGGGGAAGGCCCAGGTCGCGTGAGCAGGGGAATGGCTGTGTACACAAAGAAAAGGCTGGAAGGGAAGGGAGTAACACTAGACATGGAGACGGGGTCAGGGGCTGCAGGACCGGCCATGGAGATGAGCAGGGAACCGGTGCTGGCCTGTCCTACCCTACTCTGCATTTCCTGCAAGGACAGCTGCTTGTCACTTAGCATCCTCCCTGTGGTCCGAAACAAGTCCTACAGCTGTGAGCACAATGTGAGTCCAGCTCTCACCTCCCTCATTTAGAATGTATTCTCTCCCATCCCGGGAACCTCACTGGGTACCCCTTCTCCAGACTCAACCGTGCTTAGACGCCTCACCTTGGCCCGGGTCCGCTGCAGGGTCCTCTGGAGTTTGCCAAGGAAAAGTATAGCATTGGAGGTCCCAGAAGGAGGCTGGCTGACGGGGCCTGCCGGCAGAGTCTGGGTGTCAGCCGCCCTCCGCCTGGGTGGGGGCCCTTACCCCCCCCCACCCCCCACCCCCGCTCCCTCTCCTGCCCACCTACCCGCCAACTCACTTGAGCTCTGGGGCATGTTCTTGAAGGCGCTGTGGAAGTGGCTGAGGTAGGCAATGAGGCCCAGTGGGTCACTGCCCGCCACCACTGCCTGTGCAGACAGCACTGGGGTGATGCCCAGCTCGTGCTCTGCCACCTTCAGTGCCCAGGCAGTGGCTTCCAGAGCCCCCATGCCCTGCAGCTCCGAGGGTTCCCTGTGGAGCATCAGACGAGATGCCAATGAGAGCCAAACCTGGCTCCACTGAAGGGGGCAGGGGGGGTTGAGACCGGGGACAGGACATGGAAAAAGGAGGTGAGCACACGAAGGTGAGCGGCTTCGTTGGTGCTGATATACACCAAGTCACTTTTTGTGTAGGTGTTTTTGAAAAGTTTCCATACCCGGATATCGAGCCTCTCCACATTTTTTTTTTTCCTTTGCTCAGGCTCCTTGGCCACATGTTGTATCTACATACCTAAGGCAGCCCCTCTTTGTCTCAAGGAAGCTGGCCACTCAGCCCCTTACCCCATAGGGAGGAGCCCTCCTGTGGTAGCACTGACCCCCAGGAGCAGCAGGGAAGGCCTGGTGTGGGGAAGAGTTGATTTGGGAAGAGGCGTGGGGGTTCTAGGAGGTCTGCACTGGTACTGTGTGGCTAAGGCGGGCCTCAGATTTACAGTGATCCACCTGCTTCTGCTTCCAAAGTGCTGTGATGATTGTTGCATGCCATCACACCTAACAGTCGTGTGTGTGTGTGTGTGTGTGTGTGTGTGTGTGTGTGTGTGTGTGTGTGCTGGATTGAACCACAGTTTCACTCATGCTAAGCAAATGTGCTCTACCAATGCACTCCATCCCAGTCCCCCGTGGCTTCTGACTTTTCGGTCTGGATGCAGTGGATTTGAGAAGGCTCTGCCAGGCTGGTGAACAGCCCAGGCTGGAATACCACCTTTGGGAGGTGAAGTAACAGGTGCGGCTGGGACTCAATGGGCTGCCAGCGCCTGCACAGCATCTTCTCACCATGCAGTGGGGGGGGTGAGGGGGGGGCTGGGCACAGGAGAGGGGCCCGACTCACAGCAGGCCCGGCTGCAGGCGGTGCACCAGGGCACACAGCGCTAGTCCATCGGTCCACGAGGAAGAAAAGTCGGTGACGTGGACTCCGGGAAAGCCGGCCGTCTGCTCCTGGCACCAGTGCAGGAGCTCCTCGGTGCCTGCTGACCCTAAGAGAGCAGAGCCAGGCTGTGCCCGAGGCCCACACCTGCTGCTGCTGGGCGTGTCAGAGCTGGGCCCTCAGACGAGTGCGCAGGCCCGGCAGCACCTCCTCCCCATTCTGTTTAAAAGCCCAGTCTTACACACACTTGGACAACACTA